ATCAAATTCATCCCACTAACCAATCAAAACATTGGATATATTCAAATTTGTCACACTAACCCACCAAAACATTGGATATATTCAAATTCATCCCACTAACCAATCAAAACATTGGATATATTCAAATTCATCCCAGTAACCAATCAAAACATTGGATATATTCAAATTCATCCCAGTAACTAACCAAACTTCTTTCATTACAGGATACTTATGCAAAACTTTTAGAAGTGCAAGAAATAGAAAATAACAAATTATCAAAAGGAATTTTTGATGCAGATGAACCATTGTAAGTAAACACTACAAAGTATTCTATTTTATACAATGTACACTATTAATGTTCAACCTAACAAATAGGGGCAACTACATTTTTTAGACAATTTTGTTTCAAAAGTATCACAATCATTGACTTTGACACTTGTCATCAACTTTTCTTTTGGTTTTATCCAATACAAAATACTTTTTGAGAAAAACTGATTGATATTTTTGGACAATTTCAATTGGAATCCCTGTTGAAACATTATTTTATTAAAATAAATAGATCAGAAATTCTGAAAAATTCATGGTAAACATAAATACCCATCTTACAACTACATATGTAACTTTACCAACATTTTTGATATTTTTTATTTTTGTTTTGTGAACAGTATAAAATAAAACCATATTGTATGCTGCACGTTTTTCAAATGAAGAAGACAGTCATAACATAGTTAAACACATCTGAAACATTTTAGAACACGCCTGTTTTACAGATGACTTGATGACTTACAGATGTTGTAACAGTTGTGTTCAAGAGGATCAATCAGTCTCATTTGTTTTCCATATTAATCTGTGGTATGCTCTATTTGCAGATACCTTACACGAAGTGTATGGATTGAAAAAAACGCATTAGAGAAAATAGTTTTAGAAAACATATCCAATCATGATGTAAGTGTGTGCCACAATTCTGTACATTATTACCTTTTCACCACCAGTTTCCTTTTTTCATCACAAAATAGACCAGTTTTTAGTCTGCACTTTTCTTCAGAAGATTGGGACAAAAATAACTTAATTTTTTGAGTAAACTGACTCAAATTTTGTCTGTTGGCTTCAAAATTAGGGTTCATTTCCAGAAATATTGAAAAAATATAGGAAAAAAGTGCAGACAAATTTGGCTGAAAAACTTAGAGTGGTGGTGAAAAAGTTATGTACCCTTCTGACAATTTCATGTTCCTATCTTAGTTGTTTAATTTACTGCATGTCTCACCAAATTTGGCTTCAACTCAATTGAACAGTACCTCCTAGCCTGTCTAATAGTCAATCCTGGGCTATTGTTGCTGTGTCTTTTGCACGACATCTAAAGGTCACACATCCTGGTACCCGACCCCAGAAAATACGTGTATGTAACATTTGGGGGGGGGGTCAGGTGCAAGGTATGTTCCATGTCGTGCCATGCATTTCTTCATCTATACTTAACTCCAATTATTCGTACAAATTAAACAACAAGCATGAAATGCGGTATGCGGTGGTTGCAGTACACATTGCATAGATCCTTCCATTATACTTATTTGGATGTAAACTCATAACTTTCATATTGTGTATTTTCTTACAGTATAATAGATTTATTAGATTGCTTGAAAGGATAATACAGCAACCTTATGCAAAACATGCACAAGATTACATCATGCAATTCAGAAAGGACATTGTAGCTGTAACTAGCAAGGATGTGGTTGATCCGGTAAGTTTAAATGTGACACTGCCCTCTAGTGGCATACATTATCAATCTATTGTTTAGTCCCCGTTCGGACGCAGTTTTGACCTCTGTGTGTGCTTCCGGACCTGTATCTTAGAAATGCCTGGACCAATCACAATCAAACTTCACACATACATCATACATAATATTATACATATGCACATAAATTTGTTTCATGATCGGATTCAAGATGGCCGAATAGCAGCCATTTTTGTTCTAAAAATAATCAAAATCGAAGCATTTCTCGGCTGTTTACAGATGGATTTTGTTCAAACTATAGGACCTTGATGCACATCATTTTGTTTTCAAATAAGATTCAAAATGGCCGACTGGCAGCCATTTTGTTTTAATGAATGTGGTTTTAGTGCCATATCTCTCACTTGCTTTGACTGATTATGTTCAAATATTAAATATTCATTATACATCAAGTTATAGATATACAGATATATTGGTTTGACGATTCTATTAAAAATGGCCGAATGGTGGCCATTTTTGTGCTAAAAAATCATCAAATATCAAGCATTTCTGGATGGATTTTGTTCAAACTTGGTACATACATTAGACATTACGGGTTCCTGATGCACGTTATTTTATTTTTAGATCGGTCTAGTGGCCATTTTGTTTTAATAAATGGGCTTCTAGAGCCATATCTCTGACATGTTTTGACTATGTTCAAATTTTATATATTCATTATACATGTATTCAAAATGGCTGATTTTGTTTTAATTAATGCTGTTCCAGAGCAATATCTCTTAATACTGGTTTGATGATCAGATATAAATGTCAATCATTTTAATATTAAACAATCATAATAATCATATTCCTGACATGTTTATATTCCAGCTATATTACTATAAACAAAACTATATATCTAAAATTCGATAACTAACTGGGACTGTGCCATGCATGGCTTGTTTTCTGTCAATTCTTGCTATTACATCGTAATGCTTTCATTATAAAAGATTTTATTTAGGAGAACACATATTAACAGGTTTTAATGGATTATGTATAGAAATAGAGATTAGGGAATCCAGTGTCAACATTGCATGCACTCGTGTTATTGTTGGGTCACTGATATTTCCATAGTCGTTTTTACAAACAAAATGCCAGGTATTTATTTGATGGCATTCTTTTTTGAGTAATGTGACTACAATTCTGTTTCCAATAATTTGCTTTTCAAATAGAATGTATGCAGTATAATACAGTGACACAATAAATTTAAAACAAAACTGTGAAAATATAACACACAAGTATATGTCATTTATGTGAAAAATAATAGCTAGCTAGGTGACATCATTATTGTAATAGTTTACTTCATGCTGAATGTACATGTTTTATATTCATATTAATTACTACCACTTATTTTTATTCTAAATCAGACAAATATTGGTTTGAAAGCTGTTAATCCTATCTACTGGGTAGATACGATTTTCTTTAGAGGGTGCCCTCTAGTGGCCAGTATGGCCCTTGGTATTGCCCAAGATGGCTGCCGTACCCTTGTCTGTGATAAAATACTGTGAACAAAGTCCTGTTATGGGAAGACATCTGAAGAGTGAGGTTCCTGTACCCTTGTAATTTTGGGGTACCAGAAAGACTATATTATTAGTATTATATTGCTTTTACCATAGAGATATTATGTCATATCTTAAATTGTAGGAACACAATAAATAAACTCTGGTCACATGACATAATTAATATTAATGTACAATAGGGTAACGGCTTAAATGGTGTACATGGCAAGTCACACAACAAAAAGTGCCTTACTTAACCACCCGGCTAAATATGCAGCTTAAAGACTAGATGTAGGGCCTTATGGACAGTGCAGTGATCCTATCAGACCCTTGATAAATGCATCTTGGACATCCTAAAACAGAGCTTAATGAGTCCACACAAATATATCACTCACAACTTCAATACAAATAAACCGATTCATGTGTCTAATTTCAACTTGCCTCAATCCATGGAAGGCACATGTTAGACGCTTTGTCCCGATCTGTTAGACTTACAAATCATACGCTTCATTTGATCTAATATTTTATTGCCACGTGTTAGTATGTTTGACACATAGGTTTATAATTAGAATGCCACCCACAAGTTGTAGAGGTAACCTTACCACCTCGTTATACTGTTTTCAGGCTTTTCTGTAGGACTGTTTCCCAGTTTCAGAGAGTGGCTTTGTAAGTCCACGATTCTATGCGACCATGGTGTTTGGTATGGTAATAAATTATTATTACATTATACCACTACACTCCGTAACAACAATTCTTGTAGATAGGATTAGTAACTCATAAACTAATGTTTGTCTGATTAAGACGATATGTAAAGAATACAAATTAGTGCAAGTAATTGATACACAACACAGTATGACTTTGTTAATCATTTCAATTCAGATAAAGCATGACGAGAATGGTATTGGTTATGCCGAAGCTGATGGGTCTCGCAAGCGTGCTAAAGCTCATGTGGTTGTACGAGAGAAAGGAACAGGAATTGTCAAAATAAATGGCAAAGACTTAATAGATTATTTCTGGAATATTCAAGACAGGTAATTTCATTACAGCAATAAACTTGTATATTTTGCAGTGTAACCTCTGTGACACCAAGTCATGGTATTCCCAGACACATAAAATTTATCTTTTGTGAAAATGAAGTGGTTGTAGAGGCCTAAATGTGAAAATAATTCTCATGTTTACCAAAAAATGCTTCCAAACACATTGCATGCTGAAAACCTTCACGGACAACTGATGTGTACGCATATACAGGTTAGATTTCTATGATGCGATAAGACAACCGATGTGTATGGATATACAGGTTAGGTGTAAATTTCTAAGATACGGTAATTTACAAAAGCCACTGGTCGGTAATCCAGCTAACTATTACAGACAAAACATTCAGGTGCCTACTGTTAAATCTGTATTAAAAGCGGCTTCTATTAAAATGAGGGGATGCGGCTTCTATTAGAGCATCTACCCATATGAGAAATGGTGAATTTTTGGGTCTCAATTGTTTAAAAAGAATGGGTGCAGCTTCTATTAGGGATGCTGCTTCTAATACAGATTTTACGGTAGTTCAGAAATCGCTTCATCAGCAGTAGATTGTTACCAAACCTCACAGTCCTTATAGACATCTGTGGTCCCAAGTTCTTGTCAATATGCAGCACATGCAGATGCACAAATCTCACTGGTTATTAATAAAGACCACAGCTGCCGATTTGTTACTCCAATACCTACAACTGTATGCTTGTGTATATATAGCTCTCTCTAGTGTTGTACATCATTACATTTGTTTTTATTTTCAGAGAACAGATAATGTTTCCATTCCAATTTGTGGACAAATTAGGTGAATTTGATATGGAGTGCACAGTGACTGGAGGAGGACTGTCAGGTCAAGCTGGGGCTATTAGACTTGCATCCTCTAGGGCACTGAGGAGTTTTGTTAATGAGGAACAAATTGAACACATGAGACAAGGTAAACCAGTTTGGATCGACTCTAGTCTATTGCAAAGAATGCCACATAATATAACACATACTGTATTACTGTTTCATCCTGCTCCAATAGTTATCAACACAAAATAGATGACAGCAATGTCGGTCACAATGGCAAATTTTTTTTTTTTATCTTGTCATTCAATTTTTCGGCAATCTTCTTCATGCTGGTAGATAATATCAATTTATTTGGTATCTCAAGCAAATCTGATTTTATGTACGTAAATTTTGCCTTATTTAGGATTTTGCAAAAAGGTGATCATAATAATTACAATCAGCACTACTGCACAGTTCATGTCATTTTCATTCAAACCAGTATTCACTGTTCTCTAGAATGCATGCGACATGATGGACTGCATATCAAAACAATGACACAAGCAGCAATCTTTTCACCCTTTATAATAACGGGAGTACAGTATTGTGCATTAACTATAAAAACAAATCTTTATTTTTACAGCTGGTCTATTAACACAGGATCCAAGGATTGTTGAGCGAAAGAAACCTGGACAAAAGGGTGCACGGAAAAAATTCACATGGAAAAAACGATAGTACTTTGCATATCATGCATGCCCATTTTTTTTTTTTTTGAATAAAGATGCACAGACCAAGCATAATTTTGTATGTTTTTTGTGGGAATTGGGGGCACAGTTCTAGAAGTGGTACCTACCGTTACACACGAATTGGTGACGTCACAAAATACATGACCTTCAATGTAGGTCGTTTCCTCGGTATATACGAATTGGTATATACAAATTACAATAAAGATACTTGAGACATTACAAATAAGGTGGAACAAATCATGTGACAAAATAATGATAACAGTAATAAATTCTAGCTTAACAGAACAAGCATATAATCAGTGGGGTCACGTACTTCATTGCCAAATGGCTGTGTGGTTGAAACTGGTTCATGGCGTGACGGGTGAGGAAGACATCATTACATACTCACAATAAAACTGGGAAGTGGTTGCATATTACGGCGTAGCCAACATGGGAAATGAAAAAACACACAATACAAACGCCATGGGTTCGAATTCCACTAGATACACACTCACCGGAAACAAGCAATCGTTTTGGCTTTCCCGTTCAACTCATTGGAACATTGAAGTAGTTAGCAAAATGAACACCACTCAACGTCGTGGCGCGGTACACAAGCGTGCCATCAAGATAAAACAAAATTAGCTTGAAAAGGCAGTGGGTTCAAGTCCCGCTCAGAGCTACCGTGAAAACGTAAATCAAATACACTAAAATAAGTCTCAAATATTTGTCCACACATTTATTTGTAATGGTGGAAGTTAAATAAACATGACTTGTTTACACCAAAATAAGTATTAAATATTAGTCCATACATTTATTCTCACAATGGTGTAAAATTATTAAACGAGAGTTGTCTACACCAAGATAAGTCTTAAATATTAGTCCATACATTTATTCTCACAATGGTGTAAAATTATTAAACGAGGGGGTCTACACCAAAATAAGTCTTAAATATTAGTCCATACATTTATTCTCACAATGGTGTAAAATTATTAAACGAGGGGGTCTACACCAAAATAAGTCTTAAATATTAGTCCATACATTTATTCTCACAATGGTGTAAAATTATTAAACGAGAGTTGCCTACACCAAAATAAGTCTTAAATATTAGTCCATACATTTATTCTCACAATGGTGTCTACACCAAAATAAGTCTCAAATATATGTCCACACATATATTTTCACAATTTAACCATAGTGGAAATTACTTAAACACGACTTGTTTAATCAGTTGACATCAGTGCACAACAGAGTATCATTATTGAGCACAATTATTAACAGGAACGTGTCTTGGCTTTAGGATTAGGGTCGAGTCAGGTATGGGCAACGGAATTGTGGTCTTGTCAGTTGTCTACATAGTGATCAGGAAGACAAAAACTAATTTACAATAAAGCTAAATATAAAAATAAATTATTCATTTGCATGACTACCCACATGGCTCAGTGGATTGGTACAAATCAGCATTGTGAAAGATCGCTGGTTCGAATCCAGTACGGTTAGTACGATTTTTGAATGCTAGTGAGAACACTGCTCCTATAAATAGGACTTAAATCCTATCACGTGTGTGAAGACACTCATAGTACCGGTACAGTGGACAAGACAGTGTATATCAAGAACTCAAGTCAGAAAAACAGAACACAAGAATACTACCTCACATGGAAGCCAGTCATAACCGACAAATCGTCAAAGTACGAACACAGTTGACAGCTGCAAGTCACATGCAACAACAAAAGACACGAGGATCACTGCTGCTCTCCAAATGGGTCCCTTCTTTTGTATTGAACCCCTACGGATTGCTAATTCCCCCTTTCTAAACCTTCCCCAAAAATAATATATCACCCTTTTTAGAACGTATTGACCCACAAATTAATGAATATTCATGAGCACAGAAACTGCTACGTCATGAATAAATTAGCATAATTTAAAAAAAAAATGCATAAAATGTAGGTACGTCTTCTGGAACCTTGCTGAATTGGGAAACAAAGTACCAGTATTATGTCTCAGTACATGGTATTTTTAGAGATGCATAGAGTCAAGGACATGCATAATTTAATGTACCAAATGCACCTAAATTCTGAGCATTCATTTCATTCTCAATTTGATGATCAGAAAGGCTGTAACTTCTCTTTTATGTGAAGTCCAATTAAGCCTTGTATGTACCGGGTAGTTGCAATCAGAAGATCAGTGACCAAAATACTGCAGATTGATAACATCACCAACATTTTCTAGTTCATACAAAGTTATGTGATAGTCAGTGAACTGTGTACAATGTATGTTTTATTTTGATAACAAAAATAAACTTAAGCCTTGTTAAAGGTGAATCCAATATTGTTTGAAATTTGCATAATTATTGGATGCAGATATGTAAATTTGTGTACTGTAATATCTGTATTAGAAGCCGCAGCTTCTATTAAAATAGTAAAATGCAACAGAGGGGATGCGGCTTCTATTAGAGCATCTATAAATATGAGAAATGATGAATTATTCAAAAAGAATGGGTGAGACTTCTATTAGAGATGCGGCTTCTACGGTGTCCATTACAGTCCCACTATAGAGAGACTGAGTAGATGTATAATAATAAAATGATCGTTAAAGTACTCCAAAAACTACATGACAGTATTTCAAATCTAAACAATGTAATTTCATATTCTGGTTCAACTGGTAACATTTTCAGATTCCGATGATTTCCATACAGACCTTCTATATATACCACTTTCTGTCAAGTCAATATGCTGAAATGTACGAAAACATAAAATTAAGAACTCATTTGACTAAACATGGTATCTGAAAAGGCATAAGGTGTTCATAATAAAAACAAACACATAATCAGAGTAACAATAGCTGTTAGGATGGTTTTGGTTAATAATTACCTTTCGTGGTCGTAGCCATTCAAGTACACATAACAACAGATAATTAAGAATTGCTAGGAATACTCCAATTTTACCAGCAACAGGTCCAACTTTATAATAACAAAATATTTTCTCAGCTGTATCTGGAACTCTGTCTTCTATTATTCTGTTGTATACCTAATAATGAATTGTGGTTTCAAATCATTTGATAACTATCAAAACTGCTTAAAATCAAGACTATTAAATGGCTCATTTATGTTCAGAGTGAATAATGTGTGTATTCTCAGGGCTGACATCCAGACATGTTCATCACTTGCCAACGCTTGGCTCTTCAACCGGAGTTTCATAGCAGCTTGCACAGAGCCCATGGAAATATATGGTACAGTGTCTTAAAACAGCAATGTAGAACATTCTGTGACGTAGCTCCGCCCCCTAAGAATTGGCATTTTCAAACTATCGTAAATTTCGCTATTATTTAGAGTAAGAATGTTTCATTAGCAATTATATATAGGTCTATGCTTACTATAGTGTACACTTGGATAGTGTCTCACAAATCATTTCATAGTGACTTCAAATTGGCAAATTTCAGTAAGATCTCAGTAGTGACTCCTATGAACGTAAGCAGGTATCTGTATCTGTAAGGATGCATTCCTTATATGGGCATTCCTTCAGGGGATTGAGTATAATACAGTCTAATTATTGTATGCAATGACATATGACATACCTTTTCTGTTCTGTATGCTACATTCTGCCATGTATAAAATTGTTTAACTTGACTGTGTACAACATCAGGATGCAACATCTTTCCAGTCCTCTTTTTTGTTATGGCTTTGTTCAATGAGTACACTAAATCTAAAATGACATCACACTGATTATAAGAATAATAGCTAGGGAGTATAACAAAGCAACATATAAACTGGTACATTTTCATTCTACTGACAAGACACAAAACTCAGTGGTGCTTATCAGGGCTAGTGGTGAGAAAGCCACAGTGGGAGGGACAGACTCATTTAAGTTTCCTTCTTGCATGAATGTTTCATGCTACCAACTACCAGTGCATGATGGGATATGAACGTACACACCTCCTACTTTCTGGTCAACAACCACAGTCAATATTAGAACAAAACAAACATTCTTGCTTTTAATTAACCCCCCCCCCCCTACATAACATGCTGGTCATCGAAACTGATTAAATTGCTTGCTGAGTGGTTTATGGAGATCACAATGCATACTTTACCTTGCACTGTTGGTTCTGCAAGTAATATAAGCTCTTCTGGCAGTACTTCAGGTAAACCACCAACTTTAGTACTAACAACCTGAAGTCTGGTATGAATAGAAATTTAACAACTGTCATGTATATCATTTCCCAGCAAATTGCCTATGCATGGAAACTAATTTGCATATATGATTTTGTTACAAAAGACCCTCTATTATTGGAAGTTTCACCTTGGCACTTTTGTGGCCAAAAATTGTAAAACTTTTGAGCTCAATGTACATGTACATGTTCAGCAAATGTAACTTTAAAATCTGAACGGTAATCTGACATTATCCAAATTACTGGCAAATTATACATGGACACTTTTGCCTGAATTTGTATGTAAGTAATTTTACTCTTTCATACATCTTATGATTTTTCAAGAGATTTTCAAAGTTTTATTCTAATCCAAAAGAATTTGGTTATCAAATAAACCATTTTGAAAATTACTCATGAATTTTGATGTATTCCAGAGTAGTTGAAAACTGATTGTGTACGTTAAGAGGTGTATATGATGGAAATTTTAATGAGAACCACAGAAATAATTCAGGAGCTTGAGTTGAAAAGCTTTAAGGGGAATTCAGCATCACAATGTTAAGCACTCTAAATATAGAATTGAAAACAAATTTACATAGATCTCAAGCTCTCCATTTTCAACAACAAGAACTACCATATATACAACACAACAAAGCTGTTCCTTTGATTTTTAAAATTGTATATAAATTTCAATGACAGCAGAATCTAACAAGTGGGTGCAACAACATTACATTGTATTCCATTTGAAACCTCTTGTTATAGTTTCAATTGTGAAATGTATAAATATTTATATTTTTTGAGTCAATAGTAAACACCATATTTTCTCTATTATTAGTTCATCATCTGAGATGCAAATTTTGTATGGTCAAAATGTATAATCCACTTTACAAATATATCAATTTTTGGTTCATACTTTCCTATTAGTATATAGTACATCATTTTGTTTATGATTTATTACATTTTTCTATTATTCTATTTCTATTACTACTTACCCACAGCAGGCTGCCTCTACAATAGCAATGCAGAAAGCTTCTGTTAATGATGTGTTGATAAAGATATCACCTCGATTTAAAACCTTCAATAAAAACACAAACATGTCAGTGAATCACAATAGCTAGATTAGTTGAGTAAAGAAAACTTATAAAATTATTGTTCAAGGGCTAAAATCCATTTACATTTACTGGTACATGTACATACTTGATAGAAAGCGCTTTTATTTATTCTGTAGTTCAATTTCTTGTGTTGAAATAAATATTAAATCATCTGGAAATTTCATGTGAAATCCAAATAGAGACATATAATTTAACAACTGTTATAATTGTAATGATTTTTCCAGCATCCTGGATGATCACGATGAGACAAGTGAAGCATTATTTGTTTTTACAACGTACATTTCGGACATCACTATGTTCTACTGCACCTAGAAATGTAACCCGTTCATGTAGTTGATATTTCTCTCTTATTTCCTCCAATAATATTCTCTTTGGACCATCTCCACCTACCAACAAACAACAATGCTGATTTATTCATTGTAAAACATATTATTTTAATTGATAGAAATTGTGATGTCTGGATTCAATGGCATTTATAAAGTCAATCTTTGTCAAAGTCACTTACAGTCACTCGTTATTGTAAAACATGGAGTAATTTTCACTGCTAGAAAATGTTGTGATTTTGACTGAAATTTCCAAAAATTTGTGTCTTGCAAAAATCAAGGTGATTTACAGTACATTCTCTATGAAGAACACAAGCTAACTACAGAATTAAATAATTTTCCCTGAATGGTGAAATTTGCGCTAATATGTCTGTCACGAATGAATTAAGTCATGTTTGAATCTTCCACTATATTCGCCTGACATATTTGCTTCTCAGGTTTCTTTTCCAAAAAATATCTCAGATGTTAGATCATGCATGACAACTGAACCACTGATCATAACGTTATCACACAGACAATGTGACAACGATTATTTGAAGCTTCAGTAAACTACAAACTGTCCTATTGGATGTGTGTGAAAAGAGTTACTGTTGTTTGTAACCACTGCAATTATACTGACTCCAATGGCTTTCAGCCCACAATTTGTATGACCTTTACACTGAGAAAAGCAGCCAATCACATCTCGCCAACTGACTCCCATGTGACAAAAAAATGAACAACTACTGTAAAAAAAATTATTTTAGCTGGCATTCATTTTCACTGAAAAGAGTTTTTGAGTGTTTTGTATGGAATTTATTTTCACCAATTGTTGACTAGTTGAATGTAAAATATGGAAAAAAAAGTATATTCGATGGATTTTACTTTCACTGAATGATTCCCACAGTGAATGCTAACAACTGGTCCAAAATTACCAACACAACTGGATGCCACCATTAAGTAATTACTTTCCATAAATTTCTTGCATACCTATTAGGAAATCAACATCAGGGTGCATTGAGCATATTTCTGGAATGATCCCGGCCAATAAATCCATTCCTTTTCTGTACACTAGACGACTTACAATCACAATAACAACTGGAAATAAAAAAAATATACCGTTAAAGTCCTATTATAAACCGCGGTTTATATTACAATGTATCAATTTAAAAATTGGGATCAAAAGCTCAAGTTCGGGGTGCGGTTTCTATTACGTACATATTGCAATCACTAAATGGGTGTGGTCATTTTTTGTCCACAACACATGCACAAAACAAACAATACACCGTACAATCTCTTGGATAGGCATCGGGGAAGAGTGAAAGGCCTTATTTTGGTTCTAAAATAGGCGTTACGAAATGTTGAAAAATTACAGTCAATCAAAAAAAATTCACATGATACAAAAAATACCC